GACAAGAGAGTACGCATGGGGAGTTACCCGAGAAGAGTCGAGAGTGATGCTGCCACTCACTTGTTGCATTACTCCCATTGTTCTGTATCCCTCTTCCTTCCTTTACGATGTAGGCGCTTTTGCTAATCCTGAAGGGACTATGGAGCTTAAACATGAAGCGAATTTCTCAATTCCCTTCAAGCAGAAACAAGGGACTGGTCAAATAGCAACACGATTGCGACCGGCGCAGCAAGGATGTTTACGAGGAACCCCCTGTTGTAAACTTCCCGAAGTGCTAGAGGTGACAAGTATATGATGTCTACTTTGGCTTTGCACGGATCATAACACATCTCTAAAGCCGAGGACATGATTGGAGGGATTGCGTTCCGCAGAATGTCTGGCAGAGCTGCTAAGATCATAAGATGCTGCTTTATCGAGTCCTCTTACGGAGTACTCCTTACGCGTTAAGGGTCTGAGACTCTGAGTACTACTCTGGAAATACTCCGCTTTGGCAATTCCCGGGGCAAAAAAGAGTCTGGAGTTCAATTCGCAATATTTTACGTCACCATTGAGCATGAGTCGAATTTCTGCGTGTGAATGGCAGCCACCAGGGATAGAATACAAGGCAAGTCTGTTCTATACATCCTATGATCTCAGGATGAACTGCATGGCAGTTCAAGGTTATCCCCAATTGACACTTTTGCAGGATGTGCTCAGGACTTGATAGTTGATATGGTCTGCACATAGTTTAGAAATCAAACTGATAATAATGCCCCCAGCATCTCGGACTCCCAATCTGGGACATCCCGTGCAGGTAAAGTGGGCCATTCCTGGAAGAAATACGGATGATGATCGCCATCCCTCGACCAACTGATCACTTCTCTTACCGTCTTCGGCAATGAAGTAACTCCAAAGGACAAAAAGTTCACGATCTTCTTTGCGCCTAAGTCTCTCCCTTGTCTCTGTGGGCTGTGGCAAGCTCTATCTCTTGGCGCTTGTCATGCATTTAGAGGCTCATTGTACCCTGGTTGTTCCCGGGCGATGCTGTGTCTGGGTCATATTGATTGTATCATCGTGAAAGCAACTCGAGAATTTCTAGACTCCATCAGGGCAATCACGAGGCCATCTTGTTTTCTATCCCCTCTGCCTTGCTTCGCCTGTGTCGACGTGATTGCTTTCAGCCTGCTGGCTCGTGATATCATGCCTCTGTCTCAGAGTATAAACTAAGAACTCTTCTAGTGTAGACCTTCGAGTTATGTAGAATCTTGAAGTGTGCAATCATATGCTGCTTGTCTTTTGACATTTTCCCTGGTCAATTGTTTCTTATCTTTGCGCCTTGTTCTCGATTGACCTACCAAAAATTGGACCAAGTCATGTCTCTCACTCTGCCTCGGTCGCTGACCACAGTGCGGTCATGGCTACCATGCGCTTCGCTTCATCCTTTCCTACGATCAACATATTCCACTGCGACCAATGAGCAACACATCCAGAGAAAGCTTCCCCAGCTGGGACCGCGTCGGTTCAAAGAGTTTGATCTTGCAGACCGCGTCTACGCCATCACCGGTGGCGGAAGAGGACTGGGGCTGGCCATGGCTGAGGCCCTGATGGAAGCAGGAGCCAAAGGTCCAGATATATCCTGAATCTCAATTGGAAATAGATACACCCGAATACCTCTGCTAACACCTCTCCCACAAATCAGTATACTGCTTAGATCGCCTCGAAAAACCACACCCCGAATTCGAAACCGCCAAAGGCCAAGCCGAAAAAGAATACGGCGGAGCCCTGGAATACCGACGCATCGACGTGCGCAACGAACCCGAGGTCAACGACGTCTTCGCCGAAATCGCCTCCCACAATAAGCGGCTGGACGGCCTCATCGCAGCCGCAGGCATCAACCACCTGCAGAGCGCCCTGGACCACTCCCAGTCGGCCCTGAACGAAGTCATGCAGATCAACTACAACGGCGTCTTCAACTCGGCCACCGCAGCAGCAAGACAGATGTTCAATCACCAGCAGAAGGGGTCCATCCTGCTCGTCGCAAGCATGAGCGGGCTCATCGCTAACAAGGGCATGACCTCGCCCGTGTACAACTCGTCCAAGGCGGCTGTGATCCAGCTCGCGCGGTCCCTGGCTATGGAATGGGGCCGTCACGGGATCCGCGTGAACAGTCTCTGTCCGGGGCACATCGTCACGCCGATGGTCGAGCAGGTGTTTCAGCAGAATCCTGCGGCGAGAGCGACCTGGGAGGCGGAGAATATGCTCGGTCGGCTCGCGTATCCGGAGGAGTTCAGGGGTGCGGCTCTCTTCGCGCTCAGTGATGCCAGTAGCTTTATGACAGGGAGCACGATGATTATCGATGGTGGTCACACTGCGTGGTGAGCTTGCTTCGGCGATCACAATCACAGGCGAATTACTGGCGAGTTTCGGAGTAAGAGTCTTTTGATTCTTTCTGTATCATTATGTCCTTGTCATTCGCATTGCGTCTTCGGGAAATCGGCTCACTGGGACAAAAGTACATGATTCCTTGTCTTTTTCTTGTACTATAAGCGACTTTCCTTTCTGTCTCCGGTTCTTAGCAAATCATCTTGATAGTAATATTTAATCCGGACTTAATACATACCATGACTTTCATGCAACACAACTTCTAGATGCAGCAGCAAAAAGCAGAAACAAATTCATGAGATTTGCCTCATATAATATACACAAATGTCTCTTCAATACTATGATTGAACTGATTCCCGTCCATAAGAACCTGCCGCGTTTCCATCTCAATATCACCGGCTCCTTTCTGATCCGCTGCGCGATTCCCCCTCTGCAGCATGATCCTCAGCACAAACGCAAGGACAGCCACCACGACCATGAAGAAAGAGCACGTCGCCATCCCACGCACATACCACGGGCCCTCACTGCGCGGGTACAGCCTCGCCCCGAGTAATGGCCCACACTGCCCGATGAGGTTGAGGATCGCCATGCTGGCTCCCTTGCCTTCCTTCGCGGGGCGGTTATCCATCGTCCAGGTGATGATGAGGGTGATGGCAGAGAAGAAGCCTGATGTGGCGGGGTAGACGCAGGCGTAGCGGATGAAGGTCTGGAGGCCGGTGGACATGTGCGCGTGGTAGTAGCCTGTTGTTGCGATTGCGAGGTAGGCGATTGAGGACAGCAGAGCGTGGGCGATGAGGTAGGAGCTTCGGGCTCTATTACGGTCGGATAGGTAGGCTGTGGCAAGCACTACCACGAAGGCGACAAGGTAAGGGGGTGCAGAGAGGGCTTGCGCGGAGAGGGAGGAGTAGCCCATGCTGTGGAAGCGTGAGTGTGTTGATCGACAGGGGGTTCTCTGATGTTAGGGGCTTACTCTTCTATGATGGTGGGCAGGAATACAGGCATGGAGCTGAATGCGACATTGCAGCTGAAGAACATAAACTATAGCAGCTGCACGTCAGTTCAACTCGAAGCGGGGAGGAATATGCTTTCACAAACAGCTGTCACGTAAGATTTGGGATCCGCCAGCGCCTTGACAACTTCCCTCCAATTGAACTTCCTGGCAGCAGGCTCACGATAGTCGGATCTGCTCTCTCCCAGCCGCAGCTTGGCTACCATTCTCTCTCTTGGCTCAAGAAAACGGGCACTCTCGGGCGAGTCAGGGATCAGTATCCACGCAAAGACGGCAACAAGCACGCTGGGGAATCCTTCGACTAGGAAGAGCGTCCGCCAAGGTGCAATGGGGCCATTGCTGCTAAGTTTGACAATCAGCCAAGCGAGACTACTTGCGAATGAAGTCGCCAAGGGAGCAGCTGAGATAAACAGTCCGTTTCGAAAAGCGAGTTCTTCCCGCTTATAGAACAGCGATAGATAGAACGGCACGCCAGGGCCAAATGCCGCTTCCGTGATGCCCAGAAAGGCGCGCAGAACCACAAGGGTGCTGAATGAAGTAGCCAGTGACTGGAAAGATGCAACGAGACCCCATCCGCATACACACAGGGAGATATAGATGTGCGGAGGAAGGATCCGGTACATGAGGGTCATCCACTCAAAGAGGATATATGTGATGTAAAAAGCTGTCAAAAGCCATTCGTATTGTGAAGATGAAAGACGCAAATCGTCCATGAGTCCAGCAATTTTTGCATTTCCAATATCTGCAAAGTAGTCAGCTATTTGAAGTACCGTTCTGAGGCAGCAAATAGACTCACTAGAACGATCCAAGAATGAGAGCAGGTAGAGAAGGGCCAAAAATGGAACCAGCTTGCGGTCAAACTTCTTCACGACTTCCTTTTCTTCTGTCGTCGTGTACTTTGTAGCGACTCCGGCCCTTTTAGGCTTCGCTTCCCGGTCGTCAAACGAATCGTAGCCTTCATCTTGGCCCTCGTCGTCGGAAATGCAGTCCGCTTCTGCGCGAAACTCCGTTTGCAATCTCAACGACCCAGCTGGCGGCCGATTGGAACTAGAAGACGCATTTTCATTGTCGGATGCTCCGGAAACTGGCGTATACTGCGCGCTGCACGGTGTCCCTGTGCTGGAGCTATAGGATGCTGCCTCGGTCGGCTGCAGATGAAAGGAGGCCATCTACGGAGTAGTCAATGTGAAGAGCGCCCGTGTATTGTGGCTCAAGGACCCATTTCCTTTCGAAGGAAAACTCGGCAATCAATCAGAGAAATCCAAAATTTGTGATGCACCAAGATTTATCACTTATCATGGGATCAATTGACATTGGAGGTCTAAACCTGATGGGATTAAGTACAGTCGTAGACGGCCTGGATGGTGCACGTGGCACACACTAGGAGAGATGATTTGCGCCAAGGACAGATGCTGCAGGGCTAAAGATCCACCGGAATCCTCTATCAGCATCGCGATCCCGGAACACGACATGAATATGGTCAAAGAAGGACCAGCCTTCGATTCAAATTGTGTCGATCGGATATCACAGTCGTTGACAGTGACCTGAGAATTTCATCGAGTCTTCACTGTCATTCACTGGTCAGCATTCAAACCCTGGTATGAGGGATGATTGATCGACGAACCATGAATTACGAAGAGGCATCACCTTCAGGAACCATGGGACTCCACCGCCGAGGTCTATAAGAGTCGATCAAGCATCGTGCACGCTTATTAGGGCGCAGGAAGTTGGGGGCCGGGGGAGGCCTCTCATCGAAATGGCGCCCCCGACCACCTGTAAGAGCAGTAGCCTTGTCTCTCATGATGGCAAACCACTTTTCAAGGTCCGGAATGGCTTCATGGTCCTTCATATTGTTGGTACGGAGGTATGTCAGGGCATTTTCGGCCGAGTCTCGCACGAATCGAACAGTGTTTAGATCGCTTGTTCCCTCCTTTCGTCTTCTGTTGATGTGTTCATCTCTGGCTTTGAGAAAGACGTCAAGAAGCCGCTTCACTCGACTCTGGACGCCGTCGTCGTTCCTCTTTCTTTTCAGGGAATCTTTCGTATCTGCTTTGCGGGGATTGTAGTTCTTCATCTGCTCTTTGCCAGCGATGGGGGCTCGCTCATTCCGCCTGTTCTCGCGATTATGGTTCTGGGTATCCGCTTCATCGGTGACAACAATTTTTCCTTCAGGCTTTTCTTTGCGAGACTCTTCGGACAAAGACTTGGTATCTTCTGAGTGAGGGCCACACTCCTTTATCTGCTCGGTGGTGGTGGTGGTGGTGGTGGTGGTGGTAGTGGTAGTGGCGGAGACTTGTTCATCCAGCTTCAGGATAGGCTCTTCAGAATTGGGCGAATCTGTGGTGATATCCTTTGACGAAGACACTGAAACAATCAAACACACAAGTCAGTATGACTGAACAATGAACTAGAAAACAAATACATGTGGACAAACCTTCGGTCAAAGCCTGATGCAGCTCAAGATGCTTAGTGGCTATATCCAGACTGTGCGAAGTGTTGGCAATAGGAACAATCCCCAGAAACTCAGTCAGGTAGAGCTCAAGGACGCTCAGCTCCGCAGGCTCGTCTCCATTTTTTGACAGCGTCAACAGAGCTTTATCATAGATGGTGACCTGACCCTCTGCAAAGTCCTGAGAGCGGCATCTGGCCAGTGAAACCTGAAGTCGGACAGCGCTGACGAGGAGATCGGATTTCTTAGTGCTCTTGAGAATGCCGCGGAGGACGGGACTGGGGCATTTGATCTTGAAGTATTTGTGTACGAGCTCATCGACCTTCTTTTGCTGGCTACTTCCCCGGCGGCGGCTGCTTTTGGGGGACGACTTTTCCGGTATCCAGGATGAAGCCATTGTGTTCAGAAATGCTTTTTAGAATTTTGGGTCGGCGAGTTTAGAGGAAGGATGAGCAAAGGACAGATTGAAAGCAACGGACCATCAGATGAAGACCAGCTCCATGCAAACAGAATGAGTGCGGTGTTAACGTCGTAGCTCAGGTAGGAGATGAAAGAAGAAATCTGGTGGCTGTGAAAGGGAAAGAAAGACTTTATGGATGAGAATGTGTTTCTCACAGTTCAACAGATGACTAGTGGGAAGAGAGCAGATGCAATGGTCTTGCAATGAAGAATAAGAAGCCTTGGGATCCATCCTTATTGAGCAAACTACCTCAATGCTCAAGGACCAGCCCGTCAAGACTTTACACAATAGAAGTCTATGGAGGTAACACTTTGTCAATGGGAACACTTTCCTAAAAAAAAATCATCAGGAGCTTTTGCTCCATACAACGTCTCCCTCGCTCATATTTTTCTTTCACATCACTCAAAGGCATTGACTACATTGGCAGTGCACTTATTGCCTGGCACCTTTCAATCAATAAGCCCTCGAAAAGGATTAATTGGGAATCTTGAAAGCATTTTCAAAGAAATGGTATTATATCAAGGCAATACTGAATATTTAAAGGATATCCTAGAACTAACAATAGCATTGTGGAATTAGTACAGACTGTGAACCCTGAAGCATAATATCCATATCAAATCCAAAATTAGCTCCTTTGCAAGCCAATGCTTAATTCCGCTCTTTCCAGAGCTTCTTGATCTCCTCAACAAAAACTGGAACCTGACTACCTCTTCCTCCTTTGGCACAGTCTCTCCACACGTCGCCATCACGAACACACCACACATGCTCGTCTAGCCGGACGGTACAGCTAGTTGAGACACCAAGTGCCTCGCTATGCAGCGCACTCTTGCGTAGCAGCGCAATACCGCTAAGGGGATCCTTGTCCCCTCCGTCATGGCCAGGGTCATCGTCCTGCTGGCTGGCACACTCGTTCAAGGCATCAAAATCAATGCCGTGCTCCAGGGCGCATTGCTCGACGAATGAGCGCTCCGGGATCTTCTCATAGGAACTGATCAGGCAGTTGGCGAAGCCCAAGGAGCGAATCGTTGGGGTTCGACGCATGCTTTGTCCCTTCGGCGGGAAAGGGAGGTTCGCAGCACAGAGAATGAGCATGTCCCCTATGCATTCGGCAGGACCATGTTTGCATACTACATCTGTAGACTTGTTGGATACACTGTAGTTTGCTTAGCTTGCCGGCCAGATTCGTCTTCCGGGCAGGAAGGTCTTGCACTGGCTTACCTTGCAATAAATGACAATCCAAAGTCTACTTTGTCGCTGGTCTGCTCCATGGCAGGAACTACCAATTTTTGTAGACAATCCCGAGCATCTGGGCATTTGCTCATGATGTGAACCTCCAGGGGAACTTTGTTGTCAACCGCTGATGCCTCAGGGTTGTGCTCCATCAAGGACATCACATCAGCCCTCGTGAATGGTGAAGCAGAGAAACCATCATCCAGCCACTTCGACGACCGATGACATGAATGCAACAAGAATTTTGAGATAGATACAGGAAACCAGGTGAGAACACTGAAAAGGACGAAACCAAGCGAGATGACCATCAAGGTACGCCGCAGAACTTGTGATGCAGGTCGGTCGCGGCGGGAATGGCGGGAACCCGCCTCAGCAGATTCGATCGCGTCAAGATCATGGAGACCTTCGCTCTGATTCTGATACTGTAGTTTTTCCATACCTATCGGAAATTTATCTGCCCTTATCAATAGGTTTGTTTTGGTAGATGCGGGGGAAGAGGTTAGATTCGGAAGATGTGGGGGGAAGAAGGATGTGACTGTGGAGGCCCGTAGAGAGCGAGACGACGGAGTACAGAGAGCACAATCAGCGCATAATAATAATTAGTGGCGTTGCACAGTGACCTTTGCCGCGTTCATTATTAGGGCCACCCGTCAACTATTGACAGCATCTGTACGGAGTACACATATCTGATAAATCAAGAGCGCAAACCTCATCCTTTCCGTTCGAGGGATGATGGTCTTCAATTCGTAACCATTCCTTGGCAACTGGCCCGGGCAAACATCAACATCGCCATCCTTGGATCGCTCGAATGTAAGCTAGAGGCCAGATGCCACAATTGCGAATAGGTATTCAATGCTTGAATGATACATACCCCTGTTCGCGGTCATATCTTGAGATTGCAACGTTGTATCTGTCTAGATTAAAGCAGGGACTTATAGCTAAGACCCTGGCTCAGGTGTTACGTCGCCTGCTCCAGGGCATCCAACACCTTAGGCAATAATAATAGTGACATTATCTGTAATTCTTTATCCTAATGTCAAGTCCGGCCGAAATAATGCCGAAAACAGGCCATGGATTTGGCTCGCCGAAACAACCAAGAGGAATGAGAAGTCCTCCATTTGTTATAAAAGCGTCATTACTGCACCAGTAATTTTTTTTCACTTATTGGCATCACCAGTAGCACAAGGTAGATACTCAAGTTAGAAACCCAGATGTCACGCTTGCTGATACAAACCATACTAGTGATCAACAAATATGAATTAAGTACGCATTGTGAAATGGTCCCAATAAGCGAAGACATATCCCGAGATCGTTGGAGGCTTGGAGCTATGGCATCGTTTGATGCCCTATAGGCAACTAGATTCTTGGCTCCAAGCCCAAATATACGAGCATTTGGGCGAATGACGAAACTTGCATTCGTCCCTGCTCATCTCAGCAACCAGTCACAGAATCCCAGAACCTCAAACCTTCGGTGCTATGCCCTGCACCATATTGGGACATTCAACTGAAAATTCTCTGCTCTGGGATCAGCACCGCGCCTTCACAGCATCCCAATCCAGGTCATCATAGCAAGGAACATATCGGATGTCGAGCTAGACTTGTTCTCTGCTATGTTCTCGTTCTCTGATATGTTCTTTGTTCATTAGTATGCTCAGATAATGACCTTAGGACATATCGGGATGGCCGAAATTTAGATTACCATCCTTGCAATACTCAAGGCTTAAGGAAAACAATTCCTTTTAGCTTGCATCGTTAGGCCCCAACGCCCGAAGCATTGCCGAATGGCTCCAGCACCGCTCTGGCTTCTGCGCTCTGGCTTTTTCCAATTCCTTTGGGCGTTAAGCTTGTCGTTACCGCTCAAAACAGGACCTCTGCCAAGTACGTTTCGTGGTCATGGCTTATATGAGTGGCAAGGCCGCGACATCTCAGGTTCAGCAAGGACAACATCACTGACAATACTGGACAGAGGCTCGATAAGCTGGGAAAGATGCCTGTCGCAAGCATCTTAGTCGGATCGTATCAGAATGACTCGTCGTTCCTCCATGATAGCATTAAATAGCGAGCTGCTCATTCTCAAGTCTCAAAAGTATGTAGCGAGACGTACGTATTCTATTGCAGATCTCACCGGACAGTTGGCCCAACTCCGCGACTCGATGACACCAACGTCACTCCGATCTCGGAGTCCGGTCAGGGTCTAGCCTAGACACAAGAGGCGTGATGCATAGTCTATGCGGGCGTGATATATCGGTACTGGTACCTAATTGTGATCCTTGCAATTGCTCTCGATCGGAATGAGGGCTCTCTGTGTTCCATGGTCTGCAGCATGAAAGCGCAAGCGGACTACCGCATGTTCACTGAGAAGGCCAGTTGACCTTAGAACAGAGTAGATACTAGTAGTGATACCAGCCAGATGCCCGGTTTCCATGACACATACCATGAAAGGATGTAGGGCAAAGAACCAAAAGAACCGATCGGAAGTTGTCAGTTGTCACTCAAGATTAGCATGTTTCATCAGGGACCTGGATCATGGCGCCAATTTGATCCACATGTAGAAGCTCTGGGCGAATCAGGGAACTCAGTCTTTGAACTTCGAAGATGGAGAGGCTCCATTTCCGAGTACTCAGTAGTCTTGTTACGGTGGATGAAAAGGAGTTTGGACTTTGGAGAATGGTCGTCATGGACTTGATTTGTTGATACTAAGTAGTGAGTCTGCTGAACCGTAAAGGGCCCACCATTTACCACCACATGGCTTCTTTGGTTTGACACTTGCTTGCAAGACTGATAATCTGTGCTCGTGTCTCGCAGCCAGTCTCAAGTGAGTACGTAGTACGTAGTTAGACTGCTCCGTAGATATCTAGTGTTGCCGGCAATTTTTAGCTTTTATGTTTCCTTTTTCTTTTCGTCTCGTTGCTTTTCGACTTCCAATCATCGCTTAAGTGGAGAACCAGAAGAATGTGTCGAACCACACTCAAGGAGGCCAGTACTCCGAAGTCACGAAGGCGAGAAGAATGCTCTGACCAAAGTTGACTTTCTTGTGAAAGTCTAGGCGAGAGACAAATTATCGTCATAGCTTGAAGTAACCCACCATGTCAAGGGAAGTGTCGTATCGTGATAAGGCGTAGACAGAAGGAGTCAGTTAATGTCAAGCGGAGAGGAATAATACGGATAAATATGAAGAAGATGACTGGAGGCGGAGAACTGGTAAAAAAGGAACATCAACAATCAAACAATCAACAATACCTACTATTTACCATTGAAGTGTTAATCTATCCAGTGATTGAGGATAAGCGAGTCACCATCCACAGTTGTCGTCAACCACATACAATGTCTCAGGCTGTTATTGCTCGGATTGATTCAGCAGGGTCACATCGTCTCGTGCCGAAGGTCGCATTTGCTCCATCCCCAGCGGCTTTGAAGCACTGAAGCTACTACGTACTCCTAAGATCTTCTTCCAATCTTTCCCACTCTTATTTCCCTCCACCCCTCCCTCCAGCAGCAGCTCACCATTGCATAATTACCTTTGCTTTTCCTTTTTCTCCCGCCGTTGTGGAGAATAATGGCTTCGTGTCCACTGGCTGGTCCTGTTTAGACCCTTTTCCTTCTTACTCCCTATACTTAATAGCCCTTTCTTTCCACCATCGCATAGTGGCTCTTCGACGTAACCAGCATCTGCCTCATCTCTGTATGGAAACAGTATTGATCGCGTCCACATCTAAGGTATTGATGATAGGTAACTTATATTTCCCGTCCATCTTTGTGGCACTAGTTTTCGGTTTTGCGCGCAATGACTACCGTATCCTGCTCTGTGGCCACTGCCTTTGCCATTATTCCTTCGGTTCCCGCAGACCCTTGTGTCATTGGCACTTCACTGGATGTTCTTCGGGTTTAGGCAGTCCTCGCAACTTGAGGCTAACCGATTCTTATTTTAGAGATATAAATATTGCACATCAGCTTGCTCCTTCGATTCATCGCCCTCGCAACGGAGCTTCCCCTTCTCCGTAACGACAGCTTCGAAGGACCCGCTCAGATTCATGCGCCTTGACGATTAAGCCCTCAATCCCGTTTCCAGCTCAAGAACCCCGTCCGATCGACTTGTGGCAACTCAAGGGAGAGAAATCAACAAGACGCGTCCCTTCTATTGAGACAAGTGCGCACTGTGCGTGGCATAAGCTCCATACATACATTCGCATCCTATGAGACTACGACGAATGACTTTTTCGGATTTCATACCTTTCGCTTGATCAGATCATTCACATCCTCACACATCCCGAAGAATTACGATGGCGCCGATGAACGTGATGGAAGCGGAGAACAGCAGGGATGAGGAGCATGACATACATGAGGACCCAATTGACGTTGAGGAGGATGAGGAAGAAAATGTTTCCGAGCTTGATCCTTTACAGAAGGAGTACCTAGAGCACCAACGTAGGCTCGATGATTTTCTGTCGCCTTTGGTTCTTGACGAAGCAGTCCTCTATAGACTTGCGCGTCGCTTCTCCAGCACATACCGCCACCTAGCATTGAACTCAGACCAGCAGTTTTTGCCTACTCCTGTCACTAGACTGCCCACGGGTCTTGAGACGGGTCGTTATCTGGCTATTGATGTTGGAGGAAGCAATCTGCGAGTCGCATTCATTGAACTGCTGGGTGAAGCGGCCGACTCCGATATCCGTTCAACAGACGCCTCGGAAAGATCAAGGGATACCCTTCGAAAGGCACAAAGACAACGCGTGAAACGGACACTAGAAAAAGCGTGGCCCATTCAGGAACATTTGAAGATGGATAAGGCGGAGGACCTCTTCGCATGGATTGGGGACTGCATCGCGGAAGTGGTTGCTGAAAGCCTGACGTCGGACGCCACGAAAGGCAAGATTCCCCAAGAATTGGACATGGGAATCACGTTCAGTTTTCCTATTATGTGAGTATCCTCGCCTTGAAAAGTTGTGACCTACTGTTACTTTTGTCTCGGGAGCTCTGGTGCAATTGAATTTGACTGACAAAGTCATACAGGCAAGAGTCGCTCGCGGAAGCCACGCTGATGCCGATGGGCAAAGGGTTCGCTATCACCTCGGATCTCAATCTTCGCAAGATCCTGCTTCATGGTTACGAGAAGCACACCAGACGCCCTGATGAGGACGAGCCCTCGAGCAAGCGCCGGAAACTCTTCGCACTGCCTAAACTCAAGATCGCCGCTATCACAAACGATGCCGTCGCTACGCTTGCATCTCTAGCTTACTCTGTCAAGTCCCTGCCCAACAGTCGTGTCGCAATGGGTATCATCGTAGGCACAGGCTGCAACGCCACAATCCCCATGAAACTTGAATCTCTACACGAATCTAAAGCGAAACATGTGAAGTCAAAGGACCCGGAAGCAAAAGAAACAATTGTCAACACTGAATGGACCATTTCGGGCGCCGCCCCTCCTTTGAAAGAGCTCAATATCATAACAAAGTGGGACGAAGAGCTGGACAAGGCATGTGCACGCCCCGGGTTCCAGCCCTTCGAGTATATGACCGGTGGCCGGTACATCGGAGAACTCATTCGGCTGATCCTCTTTGACTACCTTACAAACATCGTTGGCCTGGAGAAGAAACAGCTTCCCGCAACGCTCGTCCATGAATATGCTCTGACCACATCATACGTCTCAGACAAAGTCGCTCGCCCACGACGTGACGAAGATCTCGCTGCAGAATTAAGCCAATCTTTACCTCCACCCGAGAGTAGCGAGTGGCGCTGGGATGCTTCATCTGCGGGCGCTTTTCGGAAGATCGCTCGAGTTGTGCAGAGTCGATCTGCCGGGCTAATCGCTGCGGCAGTGGTTGGATTACTCGCCTGCGCACAAGAGATCGAGTTGAGGGTGGATAGCAATGAAAACTCGCCGCAAAATTCAACTGCTGCATCGCCTCAGCGCAACGGTAGCACTAAACTGCAGGCCATCTTAAACGAAACTACATCGTCAACCTCGGAGACAGGCACTGCAAGGAACGGTCAAAGGCCGATTGTTCCCGTTCTACTACCCACGCCGACACCTGCAGATTGGCAGTCGGGACCTGAAGAGCTTGTTGTTGCTTACACTGGCGGGATTATCCAACACTATCCCAACTTCAAGGAGATGTGTCAGCAATACATTGATCGACTCATTATGAGAACCGGTCCCCAAAAGAGCGGTAAATCAGTATTTCTGCGAGAAGCTTCAGATGGAGGAGTCATTGGTGCTGGCGTACTAGCGGGAATGGTGAACAACGGCTAGAAATACCAGGTTTTCCGGTGAACATTCAAAGAATTTTTAACGAGAGATTTATGATTATCATGCGGTCTATCTATTCTCAAATTGGCGCTATCTGCAGGAGCCTCGGTTATCTCTGTTCTCTGAAATAGAGGGATTTTTGGTTTTTGTTCCTCCGTTCAACAGGTCTTAGAGTGAGTTATTTGGTCCATTCTTTTGATGTTGAGTAATTGGACTTTTGAATCTCCATTCTCAGCTTTGAGCGTACCGGTCTCCAGAGGTCTGTATTATGACCGTCTCTGTATGCACAGTTTTGTTTTGGTATCCAAATTCAGAGCCGGTTCTTCCTCGATGTTATCATACCAGCTCCGCAGGATGTCCAGGTTGCTGGAGCGATCCTTTTCTAGCATTCATTCAGACGTGATACTGAGTCTGAGGACATAGTTACCCGCACAGTATTCACGAGATCGGGATAACGCATGGAACCTCGACATCGTGGGGTCAAGATCAGATTACCTCTGACCATATGTAAGCTGATATGGAGTAACTGCAAGCGAAGGAAGGGAAGGCCCGACAGCCTATGGTCACAATCCATCTCGGTTCGAACGAGCTACTGGTCGATACGCCACACAGCATATTTGACTCACAAAAACGGACTAAGCGAGCTGCGACGCTAGATGGTGTGCATCAAAATTTCGCCCATATGTCCATGCACGCCAGGCCAATAGTTTGCGGACTTGGCCAAGTTGCTCGCTCAGATGTAGCGAAACATGTTGTTCCGAACACTTCGTTTCATGGCGGTTGGTTTGCCATCCTCGTATTCGATACCAGCGGCTCCGCCTTCACCAGACATCTGCTCAAGGCGTTGACGAAGCTCCTCGTCAGCTTGAGCAACACTCTCGGTCACTTTGGGTTTTGATTCCTGGCTGCCGTTGCGCACCTTCGATGAATCCACCGAGGGGCTTTGAACTTTGAGGGAATTTAGCAATGAAAGGTGACAATCGCTCGAGGTACATCATACACGAACCAGTTTTAGCATTTGACTCCGACGACTTTCGCGCCGTGTAGGATAAGAGCCGCTTCCCAGAGCGGAGGTGTGATGTACGCATAGGCAGGCGTCCTGTGATGCACGAAATCTGTTGTACATTCATGATGCTTCAAGTGTCAAGAGAAAGAATTTTGAGATTCAGCTCCATCAGAAGAAGTAGATATTCCAAGTTTTGTACTCTTCTGGCGATATTCTGTTGACACTGATGTAATCGCCAGTAGCGATGTCACATGACGTCGCCATTAATTATATTATCACGTGATAGTCGTCCCCGCGATAGGCTTCAACCAGCCCAGCCTGACTCTTACAGATTCATCTTTTCGCACTCCCTGACTTGGTCGCTCACATTTGACTGATAACATGAGCGCTCAGGCATACTATGAATTGTATCGCGGGAGCAGGTACTGCACACTCAGCTGAAGCTGTGTTGCTTTTCACTAACCACTTTACCCAGTCTCGGTCTCTCCCTTACTGATACGCTCGATGACTTGATCAACGAAGGCCGGATTGAGCCCCAGCTCGCCATGAAGATTCTCTCCACGTTTGATCGTGTTATCACAGAAGTGCTTGCGGATAAAGTGCGCGCAAGGCTTACGTTCAAGGTAGCTTCTTCCGCCTACAACTTGCCCCGACCGATCTAGGAAACTGGGAATAGAACCGCTCTTATGAGAACCTTGACAGTGACTGACTTGCCCTTTCTTGAACACTAGGGACACCTGGATACCTATCGATTCTGCGACGAAGTGTGGACATTCCTTATCAAAGACGTTACTTTCAAATTGGACAACCAGACGACAGTGACGGCAGACAAGGTGAAGATTGTGAGCTGCAACAGCAAGCGGCCTGGAGAGGCGTAAACACCTTCTTATGGATTTCCTCATGGCGTTTTCCTGGGCTATTTTACTCGCCAGGCGTTTTTCTGTACACGATGTCATCATTTGATTTGGCTGGGCACATGGTTTTCTTCATCTTTGGGGTGTTATTCTATCGGCGTTGGGGCAATGACCAGATTTTGCTTCACGAACACCTCAATAGTCATATCAAATCAAGATACCCTGATTCATCTACCTTTCTCATTCTACGAGGAGCCGAAAGTTGAGTAGGCCCGCAGTCTACCTGCTACTTGCTAGGCAGACCAATACCACTTGCGGAGAGCGGGGCGGAACGCCTCCCGCGCTCACTAATTCGCATCATTACTCCTCGATTGCGGAGAACAAATTGTAGTCGGATCTAGACTTCCAAGACCCGGAGACTCAACGATAGGAGCTCCGTGATGTCGTGCTTTGCCGTCAGCCGAAATTTTCAAGAATACAATCAACATGCCTCGAACTCTACCATGGCTTACTGGCAGCGGTAGCGAAGTCAGGGACGCAAAGAGCTCACCGCGTCGACGTGAAGTGAAGCATGAGAAAGACTCGGACCACGGCGCTGAGGAGACACCAAAGGCATCCAAGTCTACGTCTCGCGGAGAGAAGCGAGACTTTCTTCGGTCATGTAAGTAAAAGGTGATTCTGGAGGCGTAAAAGTCCTTTCTGATAAGATCTACACAGCGCCGAGTCCTCCAACGTCTCCCATCCAGCGATGCCCTTCAGAAGAGTACGCACTGCAGGTCAGTCCGGAAACTGGCCGAACTTTGCTAATATAAGAAGCACAGATATCTGATCGAAGGGTTTGATCAAGATGATATTTACATGATGGTCGAAGACGAGTTCTACGCCATGGCGCAGACGTTCACCCAGCACCTCCACTATGCGGAATACGTCAAGCGTAAGAAGGAGGCCAAACTACAAAATGCAGCTGCGATTCAGGACCTTGCCCGACCAACGGATGGTATCACGCCGAAAAGCGAAGAGATGAGGAGGAAGGAGGCGGCCGCCGCCCTCTCGGCCCGTCAAAAGGCAGGCTTGGAGAAAATCGAGCGCAAGCGGCCGCAGCTGGACTCTGATAGGGAGGAAGACGATACGGAAGAAGACGAGGAGCTTACCGGTACCTCGCTAGGATACCTCATGACGAGTCCACGGAAGGCTCGCTCGCTAGTAGGCATGCAAAGCATTAAATCGTCCACTAGGGCCGCTGCTGGGTTTGCCCAAGCGTCTGGGGTGAAAAGGCAGCAGACGCATTTTGATGAGCATATCCATTCTTCACCGAAGGCTGAAGTTGAAGGAGACGATCATGCGGCGGATGCAACGGCTACGGAAGATGACGACTTGGACGTACAGATCACCAAGACTCCCACAAGACCAACGGCAAAAAGACCTTCTATTGGATCAAATCTCAACTTGCCGGTCTCAAGGACCAGTTCTTCGACTCCTCAATCTACTGATAATGATGATAAAGGAAAGCGGCCCGGGGGCATTATTCACAGAACTCAACCTTTGGGCAGATCGAGAAAAAGAGTATTTTTCGATGACTTTGACGAGCTTCCAGAGCCGTCGAATCAAAGCACTCCAGCACATGACCGGCTGAAATCCCACACAGCTAATAATACATCAAAAGATTCGAACAAAAGTGTTCTAAGCTCGAAAAAAGCCCGTCTCAACGAAGTCCCGACATTCTTGTTTTGAGTATGAAACAGCGGACCATTCTCCAAATCTCCTATGGAGAGATCCATTGGCGACATGCTTCGAAATGTCACACAACGACGCTAGGTTGGGTTCAGCATTTTTGTTAAAGTGAAAGCATCACTCAGGGCAAGGAGGCTGGCCCACGACTTTAATGCTCAGCCTCCGGACATGCTGCTTGATCTTGTCCCGTGTGGACGGCTGACGCTCCACTCCCTTGAGTGTATCCTTCTCTAGTGCCGAGCCATGACTATGCAATGTCAGCGCGCTGGGTGGAGAAATTGTCAGAACCAGTTCCAATATTATGATGTAGCGATTGAACTAACTCGTCGTCTGGGAAGAAGTTTGGCAGCTCTTCCTTGCGGAAGTTAGTTGGTGGGCCCTTCGGACAGTTTGTCAGTATCTGCTCGAGGATAGCTGAGGGCTTTCAACTCACTATCTCCAAGACCTTATGTGTCTTCTTCTGAAATGGTGATTTCACGAATCGGAGAATCTGTCTGAAGCACTCCATGGTTGGGAAAAGTTGGCAATACAATTTGATGGAAAGAAATGGAAAACGAGTGCTGAAATCTGGTCGATCGCTACAACCTAGGATATGTGCAAGGATTCTGACGTTGAGAAGGTCAGAAATGACGACAAGAAAAGAGCGACAAGAGGGCACTTTCGCAGGCTGCTTTGAACGAATGACGTTATACCAAACGAGGGACTTTCGACTGAAACGCTTGAAACAATACAAAAATTCACGATAAATGAAGGACTGGGCCGATGCTCTATGACATCAAGGCTATGGTTTGGAATCAAAGAGACGAACTTGACATGGACATGGTGCATTCATATATAGTGAATGTCTTCCAAGGAGCTGCGGCCTACAGTACTGCCTGATTAAACGGTTTCCGCCCGCTGCAATGTAGGCTAAGCTGATCGGTAATCTCTGTGGAACGACCAGCATTGCGATAGCCTCGAGTGAAAGTCTTTGTGCAGCGCGCTGTCACACATTCCTTTGGCAGCCGTCCCCTCGCAGCAGTTGCGGGTTTTACCTGGGTGACTTGTCCCAATAGAATGGGCTCGACGAAGCCATGGAATTTTCTGCCAAAGACTTCTTGGGCCCTTCTTTACGAACTATTCCTCATTCGATCTTCGTCGAATTTTGGTGGAAATGCAGGGCAACAGAATTTTCAAGCCTTGCATACTTACACCGCTGTCATCGGCTCCTTGAAAGCGTGTCGATAACACTTCTAGACCAACAGACTTCCGCGTCTGGTATGGACTGGATACGTGCAGCAAGCCGCCTGCGCCTAGATTCCTGAGTACGCAGTTGTCACTCGCTTTGTCTAAAACGTTTACCGATTTGCTGGGCCTTTATTCCTAACTTCCCAGTGGCTTAAATCGACCTGTTCCAGTGAAACGTCCTAGATGTCTCGGACAGCGGCAGTATGCATATGCAACCTTTGACGTGGGCAGAATGAGCCATCGCATCTCAGGCTGATAAAAATAGGGACATGTTCCATCCACACCGCGCTGGATAACGCCATACCATACTAGATCAAGCCACACTGTACTGGATAATGCCACACCCTGGTATACCTAAACAGGTAAGTAGGGCATGTGATAAGGGCTTTAATAAGGGCTTGCTTGTAGGGTTTACTATTGAATTATGTATATATAAGAGTGTAGGTAGCTATACTACCTTAGTAGGCATATAAATTTAATACTAATATGGTGTCTGAAAGCATAGATTTTATACTGGAATCTGCACAGGAAGATGCCCCTAAATTATAGTAAGAATTATAGTAAGAATTATAGTAAGAATTACAGTAAGAATTACAGTAAGAATTACAGTAAGAATTACAGTAAGAATTACAGTAAGAATTACAGTAAGAATTGCAGTAAGATGTAACTATAATATATTAAATACCCCCTCCTCCTATAGATTAAAGCTTTATAACTCTTAATAAAGCTATGGACTTCCTTAATAGCTTTATAGCCTCTTATAGATATATACTAACTACTAAGAGCTCTAAGAGTAATAAAGATATAGGCCTTAAATTAATTATCTACCTTTATTATAACTATAGAGGAACCTATTATGCTTAAATTAATAAAGCTTATTATAAGAGAAACTACTCTTCTCACCTAATAGACTGTCCTTGTTACGGGCTAGGCCGTAGTAAAACCTATGACTAGGTATGTATAATAAGAACTTGCTGAAGAACTAGAATAGGGGGTCTGTGGGCCTGGATAGAAATATCTAATTATGTTGCGAGCAAGGCCCGCGATATGCTCGTGCCGCCTAGCAGGCACTCGCGAAGCCGTACAGCTCTGGGTCACGTGACACCTTGCTAGCTGCGGCGCGCAATCGGATATTTCTATCCAGACCGCG